TATAAGCAGAAACCAGGAGAATATGTGTGGGAATGGCTATTAAGGGTGTGGGATAACAGTGCAAGTAACATAACCTTGGATTGGTCTGAGGTCATTGATATAGGCCCACTAAGCACAGATCCTTCATTCAATATTTAAGCTTGAGAGGTGAGTATATGATCTAATTGTTGATTTTGTTGGTTCACTGAAGCATGAACCACACAGTGGCCAACAATAAATCAAGTTGAATTACCAGATCTGCCTTGGTATTCGATAAAGGAAGGAATCCAAGGGCTTTGGGGGAATTGGCATGTTAGAGTGGATATATCAGAAGAAACCCATAAACCCAGAGGACACATCTTTCCCCACAATGGTATGGAACAAATTTGTGACGGGAGCCCCAGCATCCTTGAAGACTGCTGTGATTGTTATATTATATAAACAGAATTTAACAGTGGGGACTGTCCTAAGTGAATTAAGACACCTAGCCACAGTGGGGCTGATTGGACCCCATAGTGGTAGCTGTCAAGTGACAGCACTTAATTGACAAAGACAAGGTGAGCGTGGTTATGGTGAGAGACAGCAGAATTAAAGCATTAATCAGAATAGTCTGACTCGTGTGGACTTATGGCATTGGCTAATTAGACAGGAGGTAGCTAGGAGTAAAATAGATAGGAAACCTACTAAATATTTTCTTGATTTGCACAAGAGGAAGAACTCTGGGTCAAGTGAATGGCAATCTAACTTGATTCGCCAGAACAGAGAGTCACGGCCTCTCTCTCAATTCCCAGACTTGAGCCTGTTTATAGACCCACAAACTTTAAAAAAAAAAAAAACAAAAACAAGTTTTCTTGTGAATTGTGTGATAGTTTACATGGGAGAACATTAGTTTTACATTCATCCTATCGTATATCATTTCATTGCCATGGTTACAATCCCCTCCATGCATCATCAACCAACAAAAGGGTATACCCTGCAAGCCTGCCCCCTGGTCATCAGCACACAGCGCCTCTCCCTCTTTGGGTCTAAAATCCTCAGCTGCTCCATCTCTCCACTTCATTGTCTCTGCCTCCATCTCTGGCGTCACTGCTTCTCTGGGTGGGGTCCCGCTCTCCGATCTTCTCCCTTGATGGTCCCAGGGACCTCCGCTCCTAGACTACAAAGTTAATCACTCCCTGCTTGCTGCAAAATGTGTACCTTTACATTTCCAATGCTCACAAGCAGTCCTGATAACAATTATTCACTATTGTACCCCAAGACACCTATCAGCATCTCCTTTCATCAGCCTCGCCTAGACAGATTGGCTACTACTCAGTGGAGATTCTACCTTCCTCCATGCCCTCTGGATCTAGATTCCGTTTGAAAGCTTGTAAGACAGTCACTTCTTGCCTTTGTAGCCCCCCCCCCCCAACTTTGGGTAGCCAATGTCCAAGTTGCCCATCCCTGTGTGCCTTGTGTGCTCTGTGTATGGAGGGGGTGGGAATGACCCTTGCTGTAAATATTTGTTCCCTCTTTTGAGCTACTACATCCATAGGTGTAGGTCAAGTTTATCAAATTGTAACAGATTACTCTTTTTTCCCTATTCTTTCTTCTTCTGGTTGAGCTCTGATCATCCAGCCATTGAAGCCAGGTCAAGTGGATATAATCTGCAAGTGTGGGTGTACTTATGCATGTGCCCTCTCTTCTTATCAGCTGAATGCTTCCCTCTCCACTCTAGTCCTCTGTGGCTATGTCACTGACTCTGGGCCCAAGAGTCCCCAGGTCTTGCCACACTGCTGACCAACCAGGTCACCACCCGGGTTCAGACCCACAAGCTTTTGAATGAAGGGGTGGCCAGGTATCCTTGAAGAAGGACCCCACTACACTGCCAGTTGTTAGTGTTTCTTTCAGCCTTCCCCAAGGGGACTGATGGCCTTTTGCAGGGATAACTGTTCATTGGGGAGATGGAAATAATCAGACTTTTCTGGGATTACTGAGCACTGTCTGAATGACACTAATTATAGAAGACAAAAATGTCACTTGGACCCACCAGTCAGAATAGGGAAGTATGGAGGTCAGGTTATTAATGGAGTCTTAGCAAAGGTTCATCTCACTGTGAGTCCAGTGGGTCCTTAAACTCATCCTGTGGTGATTACCTCAGTTCCAGAATGCATAATTGAAGTAGACACACTCAGAAATTGGCAGAATTACACACACACACACACACACACACACACACACACAAGCACCCTCCACTGCCACATTGGATCCCTGAAATGTGAAATAAGGGCCATTATGATCAGAAATGCCAAGTGAGAACAATTAGATTTACCTTTACCTTGTTGTTGTTGTTAAGTGATGCCAAGTCATTTCCAACCCATAACAAACCTGTATGGGGTTTCTGAGGATTAGGTGGTGACTTTGTACCACTGAACCTGCTGTTCAAATTAAACTGATCGAGCGCTTATCCTACAATGCCACAACAGGACTCCTTTACCTAGCAAGATAGTAAACCATAGCAATACTACATTCCTGGATGTATTGCAGAGATTAGTACTACAATCAAGGACATGAAGTTTTCATGGGCAGTGATTCCCACCACATCCACAGTTACCTCGCCTATCTGACTGGTGCAAAAAGCAGATAGGTCTTTGGGAATGACCGTGGATTATAGTAAACTTAACCAGGTCATGATACCTATTACAATTGTTGTTCCAGATGTTGTTTCTTTGCTTGAACAAATTAATACCTCTTCTGGTACCTAATATGCAGGTACCTGATCTGGCTAATGGCTGTTTCTCAATTCCACTTTATAAGGATCATCAGAATCAGTTTGCCTTCAGTTGGCAAGGCCAACATAACACTTTCAGAGTCTTACCTCAAGGGTACGTCACCTCTCCAACCCTCTGTCATAATTTAGTCCACTGGGACCTTGATCACCTTTCCCTGCCCCTAGACATCATACTGGTCCATTACATTGATGACATTATGCTTACTGATGCTAGCAAAGAAGAAGCATCAATGAATCTAGACTTTGAGGGGAAAAGTGTACATTCTGGTGGTGGTGGTGGTGATGTTGTGTGCCACTGAGTCAGTTTCAACTCATAGCAAATATGTATAGGGTTTCTGAGAAGCATCTGCTGGGTTTGAACAATTAATCTTGATGTTTGTTCAAAAGACGGATTTAGACCACATTCTACACTTATACTGATTCATTTAAAATAACTCTATGCCCAAATGGGATTTGAACGTTTGGTATAAGGTGACGATTGACAATACGTGTAATGGGGAACACAATTCAATCCATGTGAGCAAGTATTGTATTTAATGTGAATGTGGGGTAGACGTCACTATGTTAATTCAATGAAGACTCCTCAGATTACTGCCAAAGACCAACAATTCTCCACCCGGCTTAACTTGCATTTAGGCCACCCGTTTTCATTCATATCACCACTGCAACAAATCTGGTCTTCAGTTGGAATTTGTCCATTGAAATTCAAGGTATTCTAAACCAAATGTCCTTGAATGGAGTGGATTCTGGCTCCACAGCACAAGGCAAGGTCCTAGGACCTTGATTTCGTGACATCTTACCTCCAGAGAATATCACCCCATTTTTTTTAGAAACTTCCTAAATTATGTGAATAAAACATCCGGTCTGGGCATGGCTTTGAGAGCACTGGGACAGAACACAGGACAACTGCAAGTACTGCCCTAGGTGACGATTTCACTCTGGTTTACCCACAATTCTAGAGTCATGGTGAAGAGCCAGTCTCCACTCCCGGCACAGCTGCTGTCTCTGAAAAACTGCAAGGGAGTATGTGCACCTGCACACTCTCCCCTCCATGTTGTTGTTGTTAAGTGCCATCGAGTTGATTCTGACCCATAGGGACCCTGTATAGAGTTTCCAAGGAGTGTCACGTAAGCTTGAACTGCCAGCTTTGCGGTTCAAACCAACTTTGCAGTCCAGTGCACTAACCCATAGTACCACATTAGGACTTGGCACCCCTCCATAACCTGTTCTAGTCTCCCCAGAAACTCACTTATTCCTATAGCCTAAACCCCATGCAGTCTAGCATAAAATTCCCTGCATTACAGTTTCCTATACAGTCTAACTTAAAATTCCCTCCCACTGAGACATCCAACTGTCTCAAAGATACAAACTGCCCTGCCTCATGGCATGCACACTGAGGGGAACCCTGAAGTCCTCATCCCCTTGTCACTAGTCCCTTAAGACTTGGTGAGCAGCTCAACTCTTTCCTTATCTCCCAGTTGCTCTTAGACTAGAAAATCTATTGACAGTGGCTGTCAGGCCACTGCCTAAAATTCACTAATGTTAGCAGGAAACCTTCCAAAGTTGTTGTTAAGTGCTGTCTAGTCATTTCTGACACATAGTGACACCGTATAGGGTTTCTGAGGAGCAGCTGGTGAGCTTGAACTGCCGACCTTGCAGTTCAAATGGCTTTGCAGTCTGGCACATTAACCCAGAGTGCCACACCAGTACTCCACCTTCCAAAGAGCTGATGCTAAAAGAAGGTTTCAGGAAAATAAGAGTCAGTCACAAGGGTTCTAAAGAACTGCATTTTATTTTCTCTCACATATCTCAATTCCCTAAACAAATCTGGGCACATGTGTATTTTACTTTTACTAAAAGGAATAAGGGAGTCAACAGTTGACAACCCCATAGATATTGCTCACTCTTTTTCTCTAACAGTTGTTGTGGACTTCCTTAACACTTTCAAGGATATACCTATTCTGATGCTTAGTTCATGGATTTTCAATTTATTTACAAAATACAAAGTTCTTAAACCTATGAATGATAAGACATTTTTGAAAGTGAATTTAGAGTTGGAATCTCTATAATGCTTCAACTACAAGAAACAACATTGGAAAACTACAAAAATGAGCTAGTTCTACAAGTCATTCATGTATAAGGGGCACATAATAAGGCAAAAATGCAAGCTCCCTCCATTCCCACTTAACTTCTAATGCTTACAGGATAACAGCCATTTTCAACAAGAAAGTGAAGACTCTGCTTTACTGCTTCACTTGGGGTGGGAGGACCTGCTGGACTTGGCCCTAAAACGGGCCATAGCCCTGGCATTACGACCTGACCATACTGTGGCTTCCCCTCTCTCTTCCTCATATCTCCAAGTTGCCTCATAAAGGGTTTGAAATGCACCAGTGTCGATATTCTTGATCTTGGCTAAATACTCCATTATTTTTGTCTTGCATTGTTCAGTATGGGCTCTGGGACCCCACAGGAATTCATAGCATGGAGGATCACTGCCAGGTACCTGCCGGTACTCCAGATACTTTTCCTGCACCAAATCTTTGGTTATGAGCTTCCTGGGATCCCCAAAGATGAAGTGTCTCTTCCCATCATAGATCCCTAATGCATTCAGGTATTCCCATATCTTCTCCTCAGGGGCCAGGTTGTTGTTCATGTAGATTACGCCCAGGAGAGGCATCAGAAGCCCTTGCTTGGGAAACCCCCTGCAACCACTCAGATTAACTTGCTTGGTTATCTCCAATTGACTGACCAAGACATAGGATTGACCTTTGGGGTCGACTTCCTTCAGCTCAAGGCCAAAGACCAGCTCCACGTGCTCAGAGACTCTCCTGAGGATCTGAGGGAAATGCTCCTTGTACTTTTTGTTGATGATCTTCATCATTTCTGTCTTGGTAATGGGCTCTTTCATTTTATACTTGTGTAGCAGGAATTGCAACAATAGGCCAGCTCTCCAGATTACAGGGTCTTTTTGAGACTTCTCAGTGGAGGGTGGGCCCTTACTAGAACTTGGACTTGCCTCATCTTGCTTGTCAGCACCTACGTCAGCAAAGGCTGTGAAGATGGATGGGACTCTCTCAGACTCCTTGTGACTGGGAACAGGTGGTGCGCTCTGTTGAGAATCCCCAAATGAAGTAGACAGGGTGGGGGAAGACTCTTCTTCATCCTCTGTAGTGGCCTGAACACACTCAAGATCATGGGTGTCACTTCGGGCATCACCATGTTTCTCCCGGGCTCTGAGCTTACTCTTCTGACCTCGAGGCATGATGAGTCTGGTCAAGGACAGCAGGCAGCAATGTGGGAGGACAGGTGATACCTGTACTCAGCAAGAGGGAGTTTGAGAGCCTGTGAGACAAGTCAGCAGAGAGATCCCTCTTAGAAATAATAGTTGCCTGAAGCCTTTGAAGAATTCTTTGAGGGCACTGCTCTAGGAACCCACTAGGCTAGGATTCTCCAGGACAGGACCCTGTGGAGACAATTTGAGTTAAGCTTAGTTCCAGAGTGTCAGCTCTTTGTGGGGCTTACTGCATTGACAGCATAGTCTGCTAGTACTGACCCTCTCTCTATACTTTAATGGAGAGAGGAGATCTTCACAGGTCACTTTAAGGACCATTATATCTACTCCTGACAGAGCTCATATCCTTCCCCTCTGCTAGTCTAGATTTCACACTTTGAAACTTTGGGACCCACAAGAAGGAAGTGAAGGGGCAATTCAGGCCTCACTCATGGCCAGTTGTCCCAGTGATGTTAGTGCAGTAAGGACCATTCTGTCCTGGGTTCCCTGGAGGCCTAAGTCCTCCCTCCTGGGCCTCACCTTGGCTGACTCCTTTGAACAGGCCCCTCACCTTCCTGAGATGCCCTGGGAGGAAATGTGTTCAACTCAGTGCACCAACATGTACGTGTCCCCCAGGTTAAAAAAAGAGGTGGGAGTAATTGTTGTAAAGTGTCGTCGAGTCAATTATGACCCATAGCGATGCTGTATAGGGTTTCTGAGGAGTAGCTGATGAGTTTGAACCGCAGAACTTGCAGTTCCAATGGTTTTGCAGTCTGACGCATGAACCCACAGCAGCACACCAGGGGATAATTGTTGTGGTTGTGAAGTACCATCGAGTGGATTCCTACCCATAGCCACCCTGTTTAGGGTTTCTGCAGAGCAGCTGGTGAGCTTGAACCACTGACCTTGCAGTTCAAATGACTTTGTAGTCTGATGCTTTAGCCCACAGTGCCACACCAGATAATCAGATCCCCTTTATTACTGAAGTCACCTCAACATAATTGTCTATATTACATCTGCTTTGTAAGCCTGCCCACTAGTCCAAGGACTTCTCGTCTATGAGAAGAACACACAAAGGGGCACATATGTCTGTTATCTCTGATCAGGGCTTCCCAAGGATAAAAGCATAGGGGGGATTTTGAGCAGCTTTCCCTTCTTCTTCCAGGAATGGTGAGGTCGAGGGGGTGGGTTAGTTCCATTTTTCTGCTTAAAGGATTTTTGCTTAACACCCATCTCCTTTTTGGATTCTTCTCTCACTGACTTGAGTCTGAAACAAAGGTCCTAATTTCCCTAAACCCATGTAGGCAGAAGCAAGGAGCACTTGAACTTGCTAGTTTTGTCCTGGACTCCCAAGATCAATGGCATTCACAGACCTCAGACCTCAATGAAGCCCTTCCCATTTTGGGTTGAGTGGTTCCCAGTACCTCAATCATGTCTTCACTTTAAATCTACTAGGATCCTGAAACCCTCAACCACAGCCAAGCTGAGGCCACACCCCTCAGACTAAAGACCACCCCTTCTTGAGAACTGAGAGTTAGATAGAGATCAGAGTTAGCCCAACTTGCAGTGGCTTTGTAGCTTAAGCACTGCATTGGGAAACACAAAGTTGTCAGTTCGAGTCCACATGATGTTCTGCAGGAGAAAGATGCAGTTTTCTGCTCCCATAGAGATTTACAGCATAGGCAACTTTATACAAGGTCCCTATGATTCTGAACTGACTTGATTATATTTAACAAACAGCAAGTGCTAAGAGGATGACGGGATGTGAGTGGTGTTGGAGTGGAGTATGGGTGGAGCAAATAGTTGTTGTTGTTAAGTGCCATCGAGTAGGTTTTAATTTACAGCGACCCTATATAGCATTTCTGGTGAGGCTGGTGGATTTGAAATGCCAACCTTGGGGTTCAAACCAACCTTGCTATCTATTGCTTAGTCTACCTTGCCTATCCAGGACTCCAGGTGGAAGAATGGGGGAGGGTTTCTGAGACCTCACAGTTGTCAATTTGATGGTCCCTGCATTCCTCACTCATGTTTCTGACCATGACTCTAGTTAAGCCTTGGGATTCCTACTTCCTTGAGTTGGCCTGAAAGCAGGCCTGTATCTCTATGGTTCAGACTCCAGCCCTCCCTACCTCCCTAGAGGGGATTCAGGATGTTGCACTTCTGCCTAGTTCTGTTGGGGCCTCCAAGAGCTGACTGCAGGGGCAGGGCTTTAGGCACCCCCTCAAAGGCAGGGAGGCTCCCACACAAGCGTTAAAGGTCCTTGTCTAGCCTCCTGGTAGTTCTCCTCCCTCTTTGTAATTAGGGCTACTGCCTTAGACCAAGTCCATTCTGTTCCTGAGACTGTTCAGACATAGGAGGCCAGATGTCTCTGAAGGTCGCGGTAGAGACAGAGCTTTATAGGACCTCCTCTGTTCTAGATTAAGTGAATCTCTCTGTCCACATTCAGGGTCCTCACCTGGACTTCCGTCCAGTCCTAGGAATCCAAATCTCCTTCTAGGATGAAAGAACGCAGCCCCTCACACAAGAGCGGAGCCTTCCACGTGCACTATCGAGAGGGATGTCAGGTAACGTCACATCCGTCTAAGGCTATAAGAGCGCCCCCTACAGGCCAAGTTAGATGTGCCTGCGTGGGGGTGGGGGCGGAAGGTGGACAGTTGGGGCGGGGCTCTGGAGGCCATATTGTAATGTGATTGATGATCCACCTTTCTAGGTCTTTACGTTGTTCTTGTTGTTGTTAAGTGCCATGAAGTGGATACTGATTCACAGCGACCCTGTAATAGATTTCTGAGGAGCCACTGGTGAGTTTGAACCGTTAACCTTGAGGTTCAAACCGATCTTGCGGTCGACTTCTTTTCCTACAGCGTCACACCAGGATATGAAAGCTGAGGGTCGTGCTTATACAGACCTGAGTCCCAGCCACAGAACAAGACCCTCACATTGCAGATGCCCTAGATGGGGAGGTTAGGGCTTGCCTCATGGCAATGGCTGCATGGGGTGCACGGCTTAATCCAATTCAAAGATAACCAAATTAGACAAAATTCTACTTAGGAAGAAAAACAAAGTAATATTTTATATGAACCCGATGCCCTTCTGTTGATTGCAATTCAACGTATTTCACAATAGAACCACTCGATAACGCGGGTTTCTTGACTCTAATCATTACAGAAACAGATCGCCAGGCCTTTATTTTGCAGTGCTGCTGGTTGTGCTTAACTGCCAATCTGTAGCTCACTAGCTAAGCCCAATTCTTTTAGTCATCTCTTAGGATTGTCACAAGAAATACTTGGGGAAAGGAAACAAATGGGGAAATATCTAAGAGGTTGTCAGTTGTTAATTTCTCATTTTCCTTTTGGTCAAAGTAAAATATACACATGCCCAGATTTATTTGGCTTACTTA